TCACGGTTCGGGTGGTAGTCAAGGCGGGCGTTCTGGAATTTCTTCATCATCATCATCAAGCAAGAGCAAGCATTGGATCATGGGACAGGAAGCGTTCGAGGCTCGCATGCCTCATCATGATGGCATCAAGGCCCTTTGGGAGACCAAGTGGAAGTTTCCTGTAAGTTTTTTTTTTTGTTGCCATTTAGCGGGCTTTCTCAACATTATCATTACTTTTCAGTAAATGCAAATTATTTACCATGATTTGTGTGTGTCCTTTTTTGTGATGTCTATAGTGCACCAAATCGCTGTATCCCTTCCACGACGGCGCGTTCGAGGACTTTGAGCCTGTTTTCAAGCACTTGATCGAGAACGAGGTCAACGACGGGACGTCGCCCGAGTACACGAACGCGTTCATGCCCGTCGCCAAGTCGTTGATCGCCAAAGCCGACTCGCTCGCTGCCGAGTCGAGTCCCGAGCAGGCTTCGGCGGTTTATCTGAGGGCCTGTACCGTCCTGAGGATCGCGAGGTTTCCTTACATCACGGCGTTTCCTACTATCAATGATAAGGATAAGTGGGCGGCGTGGTATGCATACATTTCCCCTCCCCCTCTCTTATATCTATCTGCTGATGATTGCCCAGGGAACTACAAAAAGAAACCTACGCCCGCGCGGGGAAACTCTGGTCCCCTTCTCCCCTCCAGGAACTCAGCATCCCGTTCGTTCACGCCTCGGGCAACGACGGCAAAGACCGCGGGATCCCAATCTACCTGCGCACTCCCGCCGGCTCTGGGCCCTTCCCCACCGTCATTCTCATGACGGGTCTGGACGGTTACAGACCGGACAACACGGTCCGCTGCAACGAGTTCTTGTCCAGGGGATGGGCGGCCCTCGTGGTCGAGATCCCCGGAACGGCAGATTGTCCCGCCGATTCTGCGGACCCATCATCTCCCGACCGGCTCTGGAGCAGCTTGCTGGACTGGGTTGACACGCAGACACAATTAGACAGCAAGAAAGTTTTGGTCTGGGGTTTGAGCAGCGGCGGATACTACGCCATACGCATCGCGCACACGCACGAGAGCAGACTGGCAGGGAGCGTGGCTCAGGGCGCCGGGGCTCATTTCTTTTATGACGAGGGGTGGTTGGAACGGGCGGACGGGCACGAGTACCCTTTCAGGCTTACGCCTGCGATGGCTATGAAGCACGGGTACGGGGGGGACGTGGATGGGTACAAGAGGGGGGTGCAGAAGAAGTTTTCGCTTTTGGAGACTGGGGTTTTGGAGGAAAGCAGTTGTAGGTTGTTGTTGGTCAACGTGAGTGCTTTCCGAGTCATTGAGCGAGGGAGGTGCTGATTATAGCTAACGATTATAGGGAACACTGGATGGGTTGATGCCTATCGAGGACTCGATGCTGCTGTTTGAGCACGGGAGTCCCAAGGAGGCAAGGTTCTTCACGGGGGCGTTGCATATGGGGTATCCCAAGGCGAACGAGGCTGTTTATCCTTGGATGGAGGGAGTTATGGATTCGGTCAGGGGTTGACTTTGGCTGAGCACGGGGGATTTTGTTTCTCGGTTGTTTTATCATGAGAGAGTTAGGACTAATGATGTGACAATGGCACAACACAACTTCAAAGAAAATTGAAAATTGAAGCCATCATCAGCTGCTGGCAACGGAACAACTTTTCTTGAGTGCTTACCGGTGGCGTTTGGTGTGGTTGGACAAGAAGTTCAGCCCCGGCTCCAATTCGGAGACGACGAGCCTATCACGTTCACTTCGGGACGCCATCACGTTCACTTCGGGACGCCATCACGTTCACTTCGGGACGCCATCACGTCCCAAGTGCCTTGAATTATTGGAAGCTGGGTCATCCCTCGATGATATGGGTGCCCGACGCAGGACGCACGACGCGGGGTGGATGGGGGTTCTTCCCTTTTTTTCTTTTCTCTTTTCTCTTTTCTGTGAATTATTCAGAAACGCTCGGTTGCGAGATCTAATTCAACCTCACACGCGCGTTTCCCACTTGAACAACGAGAATTGACATCGTAAACAATTACCCGTGACAATGTTGCTCGCTCCGGCATCACCGCCGTTGCCAACACCCACCGTGACGCCCACGGCAACTCTTGCCAGCCTGCACGGAGCCATCCAGCTCCAACCGCGACAAACCTATGGCGATTATACTTATGGAGGATTTGATGGTGATTGTTATGTGTGTCTTTTTTTTCTTTTTTTTTTATATAAAATAAAAAATATAAAATTATTATATACTAATACTTTGGATAGAACATCGAGCAAGCCGGACAATGCGTAAACATCCTCACCAGATGCTACGACGGAGGAAATGCATACGCCACAAACCTTGACGCTGCCACATCCTGCTTGTGCACTCACGGCATCTCCTACCTCGACTGCTTCTTCGACAAGGTCGCCACGGGAACATGTGCGAGTTACTACCTCGGCGGTATCGACTGGAACGAGTATCAGATGTCATATTACACCTCCATCTGTGGATCTATCCCGGCGAGCGTAATGGCACAGATGAAGCCTCCGTAAGTTCCATCACCATGGCAAAAGCTCCGAAATATCAACAACAACACACAAGCTAATGGTTTGTTACAGCTCGACAGTCTATCTTTCCCTAAAGTAAGTCCCAAATCTCGTTGTGACACACTATTTACAACAGGTACCTGACAAAAAATCGCACAGAGCCGTCGACGTCGTAACGGTCGAAGGAACTCTTGGAACCCCAGACTACAACGGCCAACCGCTCTACTCCGGCACGGGCGAACTCCTCAACGCCGAATGCACTGCCACGGACTTCACCCTCGTCGACGCCGGTTCCACAATGTACTACGCCGGTTTCGTAGGCTGCATAAAGGACAGACCGGAATGTTGTCCCTGGCCCGTTTCCACAAATGCCGCAGGGGGAATAGCAGCCGCTCAGACCGAATCCAACAACAACGGCGACAAGCCCGGAAATCTCGGTTTCGACTATCCGCAACCCGTCGACCCCAAACAGATCCGTCTGGCGAGTTGTGCAAAGGATTATTACTCCATTTCCGGGGGATGCTGTCCTGTGTATGTTTATTTTACAACCCCCCCGGTGCTAGTCAACATGCTGATGAGTGCAAAATGAAAAGGGGCTACTGGCCATTCACATCAGCAGTCGGCGGCCAAACCCCCTGCTGGTCATCCATGAGCCGCACGACTACTCCTCCAAAGCTCACAGTCGCCAAGCTGGCCGAAGCCTCAAACGTGAACAAGGACAAAGACACCTCTGCGGTCGTCAACATCGTCTGGTCCATGCGATACCCCGTCGAAGACCAGGGGGACTCAGGCGGTCTCTCTACAGCAGCAAAAGCAGGTATCGGAGCCGGCGTGGGGATCGCGGTGATTTTGATCGCCGGACTTGTAATTTGTCTTGTGTTGAAGAACAGGAAAAAGAAGAAGGCTCAAGCTGTGCCTCAAGAACAACAACAGCAGCAGCAGCAGCAGCAGGAGGGACATGTTCAATACGGAAAAGAACACTACGCCCCCGCACCGCCCGGACCTCCACCTCAGTACACGCCTTCTTCCGGTCAGGGACAGTATTATCCTTCTCCGCCACCCGGGTTCATCCAAAGTCAACAAACCCCTTCCACCTTGGTACCCCAACACACGGCCGGAACCACTGCCACCGCTGCCACCACTGCCGCCAGCAGCAACCAAATCAGCGAACTCTCCTCCCCCTCCCCGTATCCTCAACAACAACAACAACAGCAGCAACAACAACAACAAAATAACTACGCCACCCACGCCCAATTCTCGGGTTCTCCTGCTACCAGTGCCAGCACAAGCGGCATACACGTAGGAGGATACTTCCCCAGCCCGAGCCCTCCCTCCCAGCTATCCGGGTATCCAATCGCCGAGGCGTCCGACGAAGCCCAAGTTCAGTATTACGGATATCCTTCTGCGCAGCAACTACCTCCCCCGCCGTTGCCTAATCCCGGGTCGGGCGTTGCGTATTCTGCTCCACAGCAGCAACAGGGAGGAGTAGAAGGAGAAGGAGGATATTATTATCATCATCAAGAGTCGACAGGAAATTCGACTCACCAAGTTCCTCAGGATTATATCTATCCTGTCAATGATGGTGGTGGTGGTCATGGTGGTTACGGTAGGGCAGAGTAGGTAGGTAGGCAGATAGGTAGGTAGGCAGATAGGTAGGTAGGCAGATAGGTAGGTAGGCAGATAGGTAGGTAGATAAATCGTCCTAGTCTCGTTGAGGAGTTGGTTGGGAGTTGGGAGCTAGGAGTTGGGAGCTGGGAGTTGGGAGCTGGGAGTTGGGAGCTGGGAATGCGAATGGAATCAAACCCGCATGGGGAATCTTTTTCAAGTGAGGAGAGGAGAGGAGGCAAAAAAAAAAAAAAAAAAACCAAAGAAAAAAAAGAAAACGGGTAGTATAGTAATGATAATGATGAGTAGCTAAGGAACCTTGGGAGGGAATGAAGATAGGTTGAAAATATGAGGTGTGAGGTGTGTTGTGGTGAACGGGAGTCAAATAGTTATCAGGTGTTTAATTTTTTTTCCCCTTTCTTTTCTTTTTTCTTTTTTTTTTCTTTTCGCTGGGCAAACGAACCGAATATATATATATATCTATTTATCAAATCTAGATTTTTTTAGTTTTTTTTTACATGGACGGTGTCGATGGTGGGAATTTGTTTTGGGAATAATGGTGTGCGAGAACTTAGCATCTGCAACAACAAAAATCCAGAAAAAAAAAGGGCGGCGCAGTTACTAACTACAACGGTCTATTCATCGGATTACGCTCTTTTTCTTCTTCCTTTTTTCTTCCTTTTTTCTTGTATGATGCGACTAAATCTACTACACAAGATTTATCTAGGTTTCCCTTTCTTTACAAAACAAGATTGGCTTTTACTCACTCACTCACTCACTCTTCTTTTCCTCCTCAATAATAAAAGTGAAATATATTAAAATTCTGCAATTCAACACCAATTCCTCAAACCAAAAAAAAAAATATTCACAGGGAGCTTGGCTCAGTTGGAAGAGCGCAGGTCTCATATATACATATATATATATATATATATATACGATATGATCCAGTTTGACATTGGAAGTAATCCTGAGGTCGTGAGTTCGAGACTCACAGTTCCCATTCACTTTTTGTCCTATCGTGACTTCCAATGCTTCCTTCCGTGCCAAATAATATCTTCAAATCAACAATTTGGTCAGTCTAATTTTCATTTATTTATTTATTGCCTTCAACGGGAACATAATCATGTGGGCCGTTCGAATGAAGAGGAGTGATGTTGGTTGGACTTGAAGACAAATGAAACATTGACCTAATGATATATCAGAATACATAAAACCACTCTCAAAAATAAAAATGGCATGCTTCAAATTCACTCACAAGCGAAAAAAGAATCCCACCAAAAGCGAATGTATGTATTCAGGAGTCTGTCTCAAAGTCGTCGGACTAGTTAAAGAGTGACCAAATACTAAATAATCCCCATAAAGTTCTGTTTCTCTCTCTCTCAATAGTTCAAACTCCAACAAGCGCATACCTTAAAAGACGAATCACAAAAATTCTCACATCAAAGTAATCCAGACCAAGTTTCCAAAAAAAAAAAAAAAAAAAAAAAAATTACCCGAACGGATGAGGGGAGAGGAGAAGAGAGATAAATAAACAAACAAATAAATAAATCTTCATCACGCACGCTCCCAAACCCAAATAGAACGTGAACATTTCCAAAAAGAAGAGAGGAAATAAAAGTCATGAGCTGACGGTTGAAAACAAAATACACCACAAGATAAGAAGAAAAAACGAAGGGGAAAAAGCGCCAAAAAGAGCCAAAACTGCCAGTAAAGAAACACCCCTATTGTTTGTCCTAAAATGTCTCTAAAGTACAAAGAAAAAAAACTCCCAGCATCCTAAAATTCGGTTGTGTGCGCCCATGTTATGCTGATGTCGTATTGCGTGTGCGCCTGCCTTGCTGTTTCCCGAATTCCGTTCCCAAAAGAGAAAACAAAAAAAAAAAAAAAAAAAAAAAGCCAATGTGTTGTTGGGGGTATCATATTATCCGTTCGGCCGCGAGAGGTGTGCAGATATTGTGTGTTTGTTTTTGTGTATCCAGCCAAAATGCGAGTGAACAGACGAAAAGAATAATAAAAAAAATCCAAAAAAAATCAGTCACTGCATGTCCTCCTACTTTTTAGAAGGACATCTGCCCCAACCCAGTACTCAAAGCCGACCAATGATGTTGATATTGATGAGAATTCGAAGAGTTATTCCGCTTATGTCGTTGTTCTCGTCTTCTAGCACGATCCGCCCGGTCGGCTCGGATCGCCCTGTTGACCTCGGCTGACTGAAGATCGGCAGCTTCAGGGATCATGGGCTGTCCGAGAGTGAGATATCCGCCGTTGTCGTCTTCCAGCGACATTGGTGTTACGGGGCCTATCGGGCTTCCTAATGGCTCGAGTCTCGGTGACAAAGGCCGTGAGGCGGGGGAAAGACTACCACGGTGTTGGTTGTGGTTGTAAGCGCTGCTGCCCTCAGCTGCAGATACGATCCCATTGCATGCTTGAATCACCATATCTTTTTGGTAGGTGTGGACAAGGCGTTGTGCTTCAGATTCTGTCCGGTTATGCCGGTAGCTGTTGCGGGGCGGGGCTTGTGTCTTTGCCGAGGGACTGAGCGACTTGCTGGTCTTTTTCGGCGAGGCCGGATTGTGATAGATTGAGATAGATGGGTTCGCTGAACGCTGAACTAGAGGTTGAAGCTCGGGCGGGATTGGGAGGGGCGGCTGGTTGTGAGCTTTCTCCCAATTTGCCGGATAGTACTTGCCCGTTGGGATTTTGGGCTTTCCATCAGGCCCAATCTCTGCGGTGGAGGGAATTGAGGCCCTCGCCGAGGCGGCGGCCTGCTTCAGCGAGTTGCGCCGAGCCATTGCGGCGTAGGGATAGAATGGATGGGTGGGTGTGACGCGAAGACTTGGGTCTTCGTGATTCGGGAAGTAGGCTCTAATGATGAAGAAAGGGGAAGACATTAACACTTGGATCGGAGAGGCAAGATAGGGGGATCAAGATATTCATACCCCTGAAGATCGCCTCGAGCAGAAAGTGCCGGAACAGAGTTGTGGTCAGGTCTGCGTGTCGAAGGAATCGCTATGGCTCGAGACTGACTACTCGGGCTGATGCAATTGACGTCGTCGACTACTGAAAGAGGAGTCGGGGACTGGGACTGGGACTGGGACTGAGAATGCAGTTCTAATAAAGAATAGAAAGGGTCAGAACAAAAAGCTTGACTGGCATCGATGACGCAGTGATTGCATGGAACAACCGTTGGAACAATGGCAAGGTTCCAGGGGCGACGGCACGACATGCGGCGCCCGCTAGCGCCCAACTTTCTGGGTTGGGCGACCCCCGCACAGCGGGACTCGGGCGCATGTCTCATTGAAAAGCGTGGCGTTCAAACGGCGTCGATGACCATTGACGACGGGATGGATGCAAGTCACTTACCCAGATCAAACATGAGATCCTCATCAAGAGAAGAATACGTGGTTCGAGAAGAAGCTGTCTGCGGGGTGGGCATATTGGCGGAATGAGAATGACAATGAGAAGGCGAAAAGTTAAAGGAAAAAACTCGTTCCTCTGATGAAGCGCTATACGACATGTAGGATTCGGATTCGGATTCGAGATCCTCCATTATTGGCTCTTCGTAGTCCAAGTAACTGGTTGGCTCATCTAAATGAACTTGAAGGGTGTCTCCAAGCTGCTGCATGCTCAGGCCCCCCGAGGAGCCCGTCATTCCCGGCCGGTAGGACTTGGATCGTTTCATGGTGATCAGATCGGGATTTACGGTTGCCCGAAAGTCGGCCTACCATGCTTCGCTTGTCAGCCAGGATCAGATAACCCGACGTCGCTGTGCAACGTCTAACTACGCCGGGGAATGACCTACCACGGAGGAGTGCCGGCTGTTGTCTAGTAACAACAAGAGTTGAAAGGTTGGGAGGAGAGGAAAGTATCTGCTGTTATAGAGTTGTCGATGGTGGTATTCGGGGGGGTGTGGTTCGCGGTCAATCAGATAAATCATGTACACCTTGCCGACTGCAAGGTGACTTGCAACAACTCAAGCTCAAGTAGTACCCGTTGTCTGTCGTCGTCCCCTCACCAAAACACCAACAGCAAGGCTTCACAGGTGAAACAGCCGCATCAAGGAAAAAGAGGGAAAGAAAAAGAGTGCAAGGAGAGAGTGTCACGGCAGTGCAAGCGGATGGCGAGGGGTAGATAACGGGTGCCGCGAACTAACACGCATCCCATCCATCCATCCCATCCATCCATCCCATCCATCCATCCCATCCGTCCCATCCATCCCCAGGGGGTCTCCATAATATCAGACAGGGGAGAGGGGAAGGGAAGCCGCAGGAACATTAACACCCCTCCTCGAGCTGTACTGTACATACCAGGACCTTATCATCATCCAGTGACCGGCCAGCCACCAACGACAATTGCCTGACAGCTCTTCGTTTGCGCGGAATCACGTCAGAGGGTGACTGCATCGCTCTCCACAAAAACTGTATGTCTGGTACCGTGGATTATATCGATAAATCGGGTGTTTGCAGTCCAGCTCGAATACGATCCATATGTCTCATCCGCAAACGCTTCCTTGTTTTTTTCTTTTTTCTTTTTTTCTTTTTTGTCATAATCTGCACATAAGGATGGACGGATGTGCTGCAGATCAGCAATCTTCAAAAAGCCCAACGCATGGCGGGCGTGGCGTTTTGACTTGTGCATCTTCTTCAAGCTGTTTCTTTTTCTCTCCAACAAGAGACAACCAACTTTCAGGAAATCATCCCTATCTAGTGAGGGGTCCGAATGCTGATCCCATGCAAATCTCGTACGAGGAGGAGACGGGACCATCCATCCTACAACGGCCGCCTACATATGCCGTTCTATTAATCAACAACAAAGTCACAAAAAAAGAGGGGTGGATGGAGAAATTGGGGATGCAGTCACGCAGTCGACGGCAGCGGTTCCCTCGGCGTGGACCACTTTCACTCAGTCTCTTCCCTTCCCACCCCGGATAGCTGCATCGCCAAGATTAGAAATATTCCGCAATGGTTTCCTGCCAAGTGGCAGGGTCTCTCTCTCTGTCTCTCTCAAGCGTTTGGAGTGTGAAATGGATAACACGGCACACCCCCCCCCCCCGGTCAAAAAAAAAAAAAAAAGAAAAAAACCGAAAACCTTGATTTTTTCAATCTTTTCAGGATGGGGAAATACACGAGTTGCATTTGCCCATTCGGCCCATGTGAAAAATCCCTCCCTGCCTTTTGTGGATTGTGAACTTGAAGTGGTCAAACCACACTTCCCATCACCATCACATTCTTTTCTACTTGTCTGGTATCGCATATCCGTGAACCTAGTTCAGGCACACACGGCACATGCCTTGACAATGGTCGTTCAAATCACTGTATCACAAGAAAATGAAGGCGCCAGAGGAAAGCCGTTGCAATCCGAACTTCCCAGGCAAGGTACGTGCACATGTACATACATGTACCTTGCTGCCTTAGGTCCGAAGGTAAGCAACCATCCGGCGGGCGGAACAAGGGGTGGGTTTGGTTGGTGACGAGAGAGAGAGAGTGAGAGAGAGAGAGAGAATGAAATGTAAGCCGGAAGGATTTTCTATACCAAAAACCAAAAGAAAAAGACAGCAAACAGAGAAAACCCGGCACAATGGCTCACGGAGCGGGTTTCCTTCTTCTTCTAACCACAATCGGCTAGGTACAGGGTCTCTTACACCCAGGGCCAAGCCCAGTCTCGCTCCCGCCCATAGTGTATACACACTACCGTGCCAATCCTGTTGTGTTGTCTATCCTTTTGACAAACGGGCATAAGCGGTGTGATTGTCTCTATTTCATACCGAGAACCCCGATGGCCTTGTCGTGTACCCGTCCGTCAGTTACTAAGTAATTCTTGCCTTTTCTTTGCCTTGCTGTCACAAAATGTTGAACGACAACAACAACAACAACAACAACAACAACAACAGCGCGAATAGACGGCGATGGCGATGGCCACAACGATTGGATAATCGTCCCACCTTCCTTTGCACTACTAGGGTGCGTTACACAATACGACGCAACTACTCCTCCCACGAGA